GCCCTGTTACCCCAGATTAGAAGAAGGAAGTGGGGTCCAGAGAGGTTAAGGAGCTTGCCAAGGTCACCGCCCGGATGTGGCCAACTACGAAGTTAAACCCAGGCCTGTCTGACTCCAGAAGGCTCGTAAGGTCTGCCCTCCCGCCAGGGTGAGCACGGAGGACAGGGACGAGGCTCTGTCTGAGGGCGCTGAGGGAGGCGGCTGGGGAGCGAGTGTTGGGGTGACAGTTCGCGCCCCTTGGAACTCCTGCCTGGGCTGATGGCCATGGGTTGAACACTGCGGGCTGGACCAGCAGTCGCGGAGCGGACCCCGACCAGCGTGGCTCCGAGACCTGGAGTGGCTCTGGGTACTCGGGCAGGAGGCGGGCGGCCAGGGCGGGAAGGGCAAGCGCGGGCGGGGCGGGGAAGGAGGGGAGAAGCTGGAAGTTCTGCCACCCACCATTGCCATGCGTTACCGAAGGCGGCCGCCACTGTACCCTGTCACGGTGCAACTGTCTTCGCCATGTTAGGGTGAAGCAACTGAGGCTCGGGCGTGCCCAAGGTCAGTTAGAAAGGAAGGGGCGGGATTGGAACCCTCGGATACGGAGTCGAGGTGATCCCGTCTGTCCTCCCAGTGAGATGCCATGTCGGAGACAGCTCCGCGGCCAGGGCACAGGGCCTGATGCCGGGGGAGGATGGAGGGAGGGATGGGAATACTGATGGAGGTGGACGGGTGGAGAGGCCACGGAGGACAGATGGGATGGCTGCAGAGGTGACGGGCGGACGAGAGGCGGGAAAGGGGGAGGCAGGGAGGAAAGATGGCGAGGACAGAGATCTGGACGGGAATGTTACAGTGGATGATAGTTCGATAATCCAGAAGGTTTAGACGGCCACAAGGACGGATGGGGGGGTGACCGGGAAAGCGGGAAGGTGACAGAGGGGAAGAGGAAATACGAGTGGATGGATGGGTGGGTGGGCAGGTGGGTGGGTAAGAGAGCACTGGGCGGACAAATGAGTAGAACGAAGACGTACAGGCAGTAGATGGATGGATGGACGGATGAACGGATGGATGGATGGATGGATGGACAGGATGGATGGATGGATGGACGGATGGATGGACAGGATGGATGGATGGATGGACGGATGGATGGACAGGATGGACGGATGGATGGATGGACGGATGGATGGATGGACAGGATGGATGATCGGACGTATGGATAGATATATGGATAAGATGGATGGACAGGATGGATAGATGGATGGACAGGATGGATGGATGGACAGGATGGATGGATGGATAGACAGATGGATGATCAGACGTATGGATAGATATATGGACAAGATGGATGGACGGATGGATGGATGGACGGACGGATGGATGGATGGAAGTCATTGTTGGATGGAGGTGGGGGAGGAAGAGAGGACAAGTTGGTCACTGTGGGTCTAGCTTGACCCGCCCCACCCCCGGAACTCAGGCCAGTGCAGACACGGACAAGGGCAGCCCGCCAGGCCTTGCCCACAGTGGCCCCATTTTCTGTGCCCTGAACCGCAGCCCAGAGGGTGCTGTGGGCCCCGCCAGGCCGAGGGGCACTCACAGCCTTCCAGGCAGTACTCCACCAGGTACCCGTCGATGCCGCCCGCCCCGATCCTGTCCGGGGGCCTCCACTTGAGTGTGGTGGTGGTGTCCGTCACGTCCTCCACCGTCAGGTGCAGAGGTTCACTTGTGGGTGCTGCAGAGGTGCAGGGAAAGGGGATGTGGGTAAATGAGGGGCTGGAGGTCAAGAACGGGCAGGGGTCAGAGGTGGAGTCACTAACATGGAGGGGTCAGTGTGGTGATGAGCATGGGCGGGTCATCGAGCGTCATTACAACAGCAGCGTATTGGGGCCAGCAGCTGGCGTGGTGGTTAAGGGTGTTGGACTCCCACATGGCTGACTGCGGTTCAAGCCCTGGACCTGGCGGCTTGCTTTCTCACTTTCCCTCTCCCTCTCTCACTCTGTCCCTCTCTGGACAAATTAAAATAAATAAATAAAGTTAAATAAAATAATTCTTTAAAGAAAAACAGCACTATATCAAGAGAGGACAGAGGCCTCAGAGGTGGGGTGGGCGTTAGCCTGACAGGTCCAGGTCCGCGAGGTACTCGGACACCGGCATAGGCTAGGGCCGAGGGGCCAGTGGTTAATGCGCTGGGTCAGGAAGGCCAGGAGTCAAAGTTGGGGTGCTGAATGACAGGGCTCCGAGGTCAGCATCTGGGGGCTTGGCCAGGACACAGGGCAGAGGTTGTGGGCCCGGCAAGCGGCCCAGCGGGCGTACCGATGGGCATGAAGGGCTTGGTGTTCATGCTGGGCTGGGAGACGCCGATGGCGTTGACCGCGAAGACCCGCATCTCGTAGAGGACGCCCTCGATCATCTTGGTGGACTCGTAGGTCAGCTCCGTGAAGACCTCGAAGTTCAGCTTCATCCAGCGCTGGGAGCCCTTCTTCTTCCGCTCCAGGAGGTACCCTGGGGTGGTCACGGGGAGGGCAGGGGCCTCAGGCTAGCTGGGGTCGCCCGTCCCATGAAAAGGACCACATGACCCAGGCCTGAGGCCATGGATCGTGGCCTGACGGGTCACAGAACATTCACGGGCTACCAGTCACAGGGTCAGAAATCAAGAGGGGTCACAGAGCATGAGCTGGGGCCAGGGGTCACAGAAATCCCAATATTGGCCAACGCAAGAACTCTCACTGGCCGGGGAGACTAAGGGCCGTCAGGCAAGGGAGATGGAAACCAGGCCCGAGGCCGCTGGGAAGGCCGTGGTCCCAGGTCCAGGCAACTAATGAAATTCGGGGAAAATTATGTATACCACTTTAAGAACAATTCATTAAGAATTCTTCCAGCCAGCTCTCTAGGCTCTCTCTCTCTAAGTGGCTAAATCCGAAGGAGGATAAAATCCTTGAAGATGACTGAGCCACACATGGGAAAGTGCTTGGGTTTGGGACTAATGCGTGAAGGAGAGTTCCCACCCACAATGTGCCAACCCACGTTGTATTAGGTGACTGGGAATTCAGTGTCATTAAGTTGCTAAAACTTTTCTTTTGTTTATTGTAGTATTTAGTCTACTTTTACAAATATATATATTGTGAACAGTTTGGAAGATTAAGAAGGGAATACATAAAGTTTAGAAAGTAGAACCAAAATATTAATATTTGCTGTTATGAGACTCTGTATAGAGTACCTAAGAGAACAAAGTATTAAAAACAATAATGGAATTAGATATATTTCAGGAAACACAATCAATGTTCACAATTCATCTATGTAATAGCTATACTGAAGTATCCAACTATAAAATGAAACTATAGAAAAGGCTAATGTTTATAATACCACTGAAATTTATATGATACGGGTCTAGCTTGACCCGCCCCACCCCCGGAACTCAGGCCAGTGCAGACACGGACAAGGGCAGCCCGCCAGGCCTTGCCCACAGTGGCCCCATTTTCTGTGCCCTGAACCGCAGCCCAGAGGGTGCTGTGGGCCCCGCCAGGCCGAGGGGCACTCACAGCCTTCCAGGCAGTACTCCACCAGGTACCCGTCGATGCCGCCCGCCCCGATCCTGTCCGGGGGCCTCCACTTGAGTGTGGTGGTGGTGTCCGTCACGTCCTCCACCGTCAGGTGCAGAGGTTCACTTGTGGGTGCTGCAGAGGCGCAGGGAAAGGGGATGTGGGTAAATGAGGGGCTGGAGGTCAAGAACGGGCAGGGGTCAGAGGTGGAGTCACTAACATGGAGGGGTCAGTGTGGTGATGAGCATGGGCGGGTCATCGAGCGTCATTACAACAGCAGCGTATTGGGGCCAGCAGCTGGCGTGGTGGTTAAGGGTGTTGGACTCCCACATGGCTGACTGCGGTTCAAGCCCTGGACCTGGCGGCTTGCTTTCTCACTTTCCCTCTCCCTCTCTCACTCTGTCCCTCTCTGGACAAATTAAAATAAATAAATAAAGTTAAATAAAATAATTCTTTAAAGAAAAACAGCACTATATCAAGAGAGGACAGAGGCCTCAGAGGTGGGGTGGGCGTTAGCCTGACAGGTCCAGGTCCGCGAGGTACTCGGACACCGGCATAGGCTAGGGCCGAGGGGCCAGTGGTTAATGCGCTGGGTCAGGAAGGCCAGGAGTCAAAGTTGGGGTGCTGAATGACAGGGCTCCGAGGTCAGCATCTGGGGGCTTGGCCAGGACACAGGGCAGAGGTTGTGGGCCCGGCAAGCGGCCCAGCGGGCGTACCGATGGGCATGAAGGGCTTGGTGTTCATGCTGGGCTGGGAGACGCCGATGGCGTTGACCGCGAAGACCCGCATCTCGTAGAGGACGCCCTCGATCATCTTGGTGGACTCGTAGGTCAGCTCCGTGAAGACCTCGAAGTTCAGCTTCATCCAGCGCTGGGAGCCCTTCTTCTTCCGCTCCAGGAGGTACCCTGGGGTGGTCACGGGGAGGGCAGGGGCCTCAGGCTAGCTGGGGTCGCCCGTCCCATGAAAAGGACCACATGACCCAGGCCTGAGGCCATGGATCGTGGCCTGACGGGTCACAGAACATTCACGGGCTACCAGTCACAGGGTCAGAAATCAAGAGGGGTCACAGAGCATGAGCTGGGGCCAGGGGTCACAGAAATCCCAATATTGGCCAACGCAAGAACTCTCACTGGCCGGGGAGACTAAGGGCCGTCAGGCAAGGGAGATGGAAACCAGGCCCGAGGCCGCTGGGAAGGCCGTGGTCCCAGGTCCAGGCAAGGTCAGAGGGCACGGGGGCACTGGCACCCGGGGACTCACCAGTGACTGGCTGTCCCCCGTCGTACTTGGGTGGCTCCCAGACGAGGATGGCCCAGTCCTCGCCCACAGAAGTGACACGCACGGCCTCGGGGGGGTCTGGGACATCTGAGGGGGCAGGGGAGCCGAGGAGTCAGGGAGCCCCTTGTGGCCTCAGGAAGCCACCCCCGGGCCAGCCCCGGCACCTCTGCTCACCCACAACCCGCAGGAAGATGGAGGCCACGTCTTCGCCAGCGGGGTTGGTGACCTTGATGGTGTAGCGGCCCTCGTCCGCCCTCTCGGCGCTCTCGATCACGAAGCTGCTGCTGTCCACCCGCTGCTCGACGCGGACCCTGCCCTCGGTGACCGAGAACACCTGGACGCAGCCACACGACCCTTGCTAGCCCGTGTCCCGAGGCCGCGCCGCTGCCACCCACCACCCACGTCTTCGCCAGCGGGGTTGGTGACCTTGATGGTGTAGCGGCCCTCGTCCGCCCTCTCGGCGCTCTCGATCACGAAGCTGCTGCTGTCCACCCGCTGCTCGACGCGGACCCTGCCCTCGGTGACCGAGAACACCTGGACGCAGCCACACGACCCTTGCTAGCCCGTGTCCCGAGGCCGCGCCGCTGCCACCCACCACCGCGGCGTGGGGCCGTGGACTCAGCACCAGCTGGGCCGAGCCGCGTCCTTCCTCCCACCCCTCCTTGCCCCTCGAAGCCCACCTTAATTCACAACAGGGCCGGGGCCAGGCGGTGGTGTGGTGGAGGCAAAACTGGACCCACATGGAAAGGGAATGGGTTCATGACTCAGGACCCCCCACCCCACGTGCGCGCAGGCCCGTGACCCACAAGGCTGACACTGAGCGAGGTCCGTGGCACGAACACCCCGTTGGTAGTGCCTGTCTCCATCTCTCTCTCTCTCCCGTGAAAGAAACTTAAGGGACCAGCAGTGGGCGAAATGGCTATATCGCTGGACACCCATGTAGCTGACTGCGGTTCAAGTCCCAGACCCCGTGGCTTAAACTCACACTAGGCACATGGGCGTGTGTGCCCAAGATCCCGAGGGGAGAATGGAGAAGGGATTGTGGCATGGCCATCCCCCCGAGAGGTTGATTTCTTGCTCTCTGTCTCTGTCTTTCTGGCGAGCGCATGTGCCCTATAGCAAAAACCTCTCAAAAAAAAAGAAAAAGAAAAAGAAAAAAGAAAAAGAAAGAAACTTAAAAAAAAAAAGAAAGAAAGAAAAAAAAAGAAAAATGGGACCAGCAGTTAGTGTATGGCTTTGTCGCTGAACTCCCATGTAGTCGATCACGGTTCGAGTCCCGGACCCGGTGGCTTAAATTCACGCTGGGCGCGTGTGCATGCGTGCCCAAGATCCTGAGAGGAGAATGGAGGAGAAGGGATTGTGGCGTGGCCATCCCCTCTGCGGGGTGATTTCTCGCTTTCTATCTCTCTGTCTCTCTCTGTCTGACTGGCAAGTGCACACGCCCTATAGCAAAATCCTCTCCAAAAAAAAGAAAAAGAAAAAAGAAAGACAAAAAAAAAAACCCAGACTCTGTTGTCCCAGAAACTTAGAAGGGCTGCTCTCTGCTCTCATTCGACCTTTGTTTTTTCTTTTTCACTGGCAGGGGGTGCATGAGCTTACCGGAGAAAGACAAAAAGACAGAACAGGGGGACGAGAAAACACCTCATGGGAGTGGTCACACCACAGTCCCTTCATTTGTCCTCCTGGATTTTGGGCACAGCCGCACATGTGTTTTTCAAGCGTCCAATACTCAAACTGCACTGTTGGCCATATGGAATCCAGACCACTTAACCACCGGTCAGGACCCACCCAGAAGCCACCTCCTCCAGGAAGCCTTCTTGGATGCCCCCAGCTGGCAGTGGTGACTCCATCCCCGGGATTTTCATAGTCTCTGGTACTTTCCTTTTTCTTGGCCTGACCACCCTGGACCCTGGGAACAGCTGGGCATGGCTCTGTCCCTCGATAGTCCTGGATGTACCCTCGGGGCCTCTGCACAGAGCCTGGCATACAGGCCCCCAGGCGGCGCTCGCCCCATGAAGGAATGAATGAAGGTTGAGCTCAGCCTGTCCGTCTGCAGAAGAGGAGACGGAAGCACAGAGGAAAGACAAGTGAACTGTCCCGGCCTGGGATGTACACAGCTGAAAGACCTGCTGCATGGGGACCAGCAGACGGCATAGTGGCTATGCTGCTGGACTCCCACATAGCTGACCGTGGTTCAAGTCCCAGATCCGGCAGTTTAAAATGCGCCAGGTGCGTTGCGCATGCCCAAGATCCAGAAGGGAGAATGGAGAAGGGATGGCTGCGTGGCCATCCCTCCTGGGGGTGATTTCTCACTTTTTGTCTCTCTGTCTCTCTCATGAGCGCACGCACCCAGCAAAAATATCTTTCAAAAACAACAAAAAAAGGTCTGTTGGATAGAGGGGTAGATATGTCGATGGCAGACAGGAACTTGGAATGGGCGAATACTTGGAATGGCAGGCGGACAAGTGGAACCCCGCATTAACTAGTGGGGGCTGGGTGGATTAATCAATTAACTGAGACACAGAAGGCTGGGTGGCCGGCCTGCCTGCCTGATGTTTAACTGGCTGGTGACCTACCATATGCTAGCCCGTACCACATGGTGAACAAAAATGAACTCCCATCTGACCAGCCATGGCACGGTGGCTAAGGCAGCTGGATCCCACATGGCTGACTGATCCCACATGGTTCGAGTCTTGGACCCAGCAGATGGAGACGTGCCAGGCACGTGTGCATGCGTGTCCCAAATCCTAAGAGAATGGAGGAAAAGGGATTGTAGTGTGGCTATCCACCCGGGGGGGGATGTCTCACTTTCCCTCCCTCCCTCCAGTGAGCAAAACTAAAATGAAATAAATAAACTCCAGCCTTCAAAACCACCCTGTAAGGAAGGAATCGTCATCCTTATGAGGGTGAGACTCAGAAAGAGAAAGCTGCTTGCTTCAAGTTGCCCAGCAGAGTTGAGGGGGAGGAACTCAGGTGCAGGGGACCCCAACCTGCCTCGTCTCCCTTCATCCAGGTGGCGACGGGAGGGGGCTCCCCTGTGATGGCCACATCCAGACGCAGCTTGTTTCCAGCCACCACCACGATCGAGTTATCTGAGGTCTTCCCCGAGCAGTCCAGGTGGATCTTCGGGGGCTCTAGGGGCACAGAAGAGGGACTGGGGGGCAGCCGGGCCCTCCTGGTCCCCACTGGAGGGCCCCGAGAAGCTAGGCCCAGCAGCCACAGAGAAGCAGAGCACGGCTCCCCCTCAGCCCCGGAGCCGGGCCGGCCTGGCCTCACCTTGCTTGGGCACGTACTCCACCTTGATCTCTGCAAGACAAAGGCAGCTGTTGGGTGAGTCCAGCAGGCCCCACGTCCCCACCCGGCCCAGGGGCAGCAGGTCTGGCAGTGGCCCTGGGGACAGGGCTGCTGGTGGTGAGGTTCAGGCCCGGGAGCTGCCCCTTCCTCTCTAGAGGGTCTTCTGCGTCTACGACAGCCTCCCCCTGCCCTTCCAAAGAGCCGGGATGTGCTCGTCATGCTCAGCATGGCCAGGGAGCTCAGTTCTTTTATTCCGTTTTAATTATTTAATTATTTTATTATTATTATTATTATTTTAAATTTGACCAGAGAGACAAAAAGAGTAAAAAAGGGAAAGTGAGAAAGTAAGCCACCAGGCCCAGGACTTGAACCATGGTTGGCCATGTGGGAGTCCAGTGCCTTGACCACCATGCCACCTGCTGGCCCCATGAGAACTCAGTTCTAAAGGCACTCCCAGGTCTGGGAGGGTGGGTCCTGCAGCCCCAGGGTTAAAGGAGGGGTGTCTATACCCAGGAAGTTGAGCTTGGCCGAGAGGGACAGGGCATAGCCATCGGGCACGAAGGTGTAGTCACCCTCGTCCTCGGGCCGGACGTCGTCAATCACCAGCTTGTGGAACCTGGAGGGGGGACCAGGGAGGTCAATCCAGGTCACTGGGGCTGTGATGGGGCCAGGCTGCTCCCACCCCCTTCCTTCAAGGCCACCTTGAGAAAGCCCCTCCTAACAGCCACCTTTTATTTTAATTTGCTGTAGGGCACATGCCCCTCCGTAGGGATGGCCACGCTGCTATATCCCTTCTCCTTCATGCCCCTCTCGGGATTCTGCACACACATGCACACACACCTGGTGTGGTTTTCATCGGGTTGGGAACTCGAAACACACAGTAGACCATGTGGGACCTAGGGCTTTAACCACCACACCACCTGCTGGCCCCATGTCCACCATTTTTATTCAGGGCTTTGGAATTTTTAAAATTATTTTATTTATGTAATTTTGTTATTATTAATTTTTTTTACCTTGAACAGAGAGAGATAGAAAGTGAAAAGGCAAGCCGCCATATCTGGGACTCAAACCATAATCAGCCAGGTGGGAGTCCAGCGCCTTAACTGTTGCACCATCTACTGGCGCCAGGGTTTTGGAATATTATGGCCTGACTTCTACTTACGACTAACTGTGTGTCCTCAGGCAACTTATTGACCTCTCTGTGCCTCCATTTCTCTGTCTATAAATTGGGGGTACTGGGACCAGCAGATGGCATAATGTTTCCATCGCCAGACTCCCACATAACTGACCATGGCTCAAGTCCCAGACTCAAAGGCTTCAAACTCACGCCAGGTGCATGTGTGTACGTGCCCAAGATCCCGAGAGGAGCAGGCGTTGCAGCGTGCATGCCCCCGGGGGGTGATTTCTCACTTTCTTTTGGATAAGTTTTTGCTATAGGGCGCGTGTGCTCGCCAGAAAGACAGAGAGAGACAGAGAGACAGAAAGTGAGAAATCACCCTCCAGGAGAATGGCCATGCCGCAGTCCCTTCTCCTCCATTCTCCTCTCTGGATCTTGGGCACGCATGCACACGCGCCCGGCGTGAGTTTAAGCCACCGGGTCTGGGACTCAAACCGCGGTCGACTACATGGGAGTCCAGCCACATAGCCACTACGCCAACCGCTGGTCCCAATTTCCCACTTTCTGTCTCTCTGGCGAGCACACATGCCGTATAACAAAAATGTCTCTGTAGAAAATTTGAAAAGCTGGGCGTAATAACGTCGGCACCAGGGCCCTTGTCGAGCATTTAGAAAACGCTGCATGTTCTAAGCGTCCTGTGTTAGGACTTGCCACCGTCATTGCTGCTGCCACCAGCGGCATGACTCCTCCCATGGAACACAGGCCAAGCCTCCACGCCCAGACTTTGCCAAGAGACCCTCGGGGCACAGCACTCGCCGGCCTCACCTTTAAGGTGGCGGCCATCGCGGGTGTCCACATCCAGCAGCTGAATCCCAGCCTTTTGCTTCCTTGGCTGGACTCCCCGGGAGGCTGCAGGCTTCCCTCCCTCTGTCCTCGCCCTTACGGGAGACCTTGCGGCACCCCTGAACCCCCTCTTGAATGTGGCCCAGCCTGGGACTTTCTGTGCCCGACAGAACACGGAGGAAGTGACACTGGGGCAGCTTTGCCTAGGCCACAAGGCCTTGTTCGCTTCTGCTCTCTCGGGACCTCTGATTGTGCCCAAGCAAGTGCTAGGACGGGCCCACTAGAGATGAGACACCATACGGACCCAGTGCTGGTGGCCCAGTTGTCCGAGCCAAGGGGGACAGAGCCCAGGCAAGGCTAGCAGGCGTCTACTGACCACAGAGGCATGAGCACCTCCATCCCAGGTCAGCTCCCCAACCCCCCCACAGGTGCGTAAGGGGTCAGTCCTCGTTCTGTTAGCCTGGTAGATCTGAGGGCGCTTTGTTACACAGCTAGGGCAAACCGATACACCCCCCGCACTGCGCATCGCCTGGCGCCTCCTCACCTCCCTATGTGGGAGATGGTGATCCTCTTGCTAGGCCGCACCTCGACCCCGTTCTTGTACCACTTGCCGGTCACCTTCTCGTCGGACACCTCGCACTTGAACACAGCCTGCTCTGCGGCCTTCACCGTCAGATCCGCGATGTCCTGCAGGACCTCCAGCTGTTTCTCTGGGCGGGGAGGGAGGGGCTGGGGCCATGCTACTCCACTCAGCTCGCCGATGCGCGAGCACCCCCCGCCATGTGCCAAGCGCTGGGCCAGGCACAGACGAGGGCAGCCCAGGGACAACCCGCCGACCTCGGGGAGCTCACAGTCTGGCGTGGAAAGGGGGCAAGAAACGTGACGAGAGGAGTAGGAGGCCTGACAGAGGACAAGGGCGAGCTTCCAGGACGGGGCAACGGCACGTGCAAAGGCCCCAGGGAGGAGAGCAGGCTCGACTGACAGAGGAGCCCTAGCAGGCCAGGCAGAGCGGCAGGCGTGTAGGGCGTGGGCAGACAGCAGCGCGTGGGCAGACAGCGGCAGGTGGCCCAACCGGGCCACGTGGAGGACTATCTGGGCTCTGGGTGAGGCAAGAGCCACTGGCCAGGGCTGGGGGGACAGGACAAGGGGTGGGATTGTCTATTCAAATTGTAATACATTTTAAAAAACAAGACAAGGGGGAGCCAGCAGATGGCATAGAGGTTATGTCACTGGACTCCCATGTGGTCTGCTGTGGTTCAAGTCCTGGACCCTGTGCCTTAAAACTCATGCCGGGCGCGTGTACATGTGTGCCCAAAATCCTAAGGGAAGAATGGAGGAGAAGGGATTGTAGCATGGCCATCCCTCCAGGAGGTGATTTCTCACTTTCTCTCTCTCTCGCTTTCTCTGTTTTTCTCTGAGGACCCTACGGCAAAAACTAAAAAAAAAAAAAAAAAAAAAAAAAAAAAAAAAAAAAAAGGACAATGTATTGCTTTAAGAGAGTTTTGTTTTATTTCTGTTTTTTGTGTGTGTGTGTGTGTTCCCTGGAAAGACAGAGAGAGACAGAGAGACAGAAAGCAAAAAATCACCCCCCAGGCCCTCCTGGGGGGGGGTCCCATGGCTGGGGGCTCACGCCCCTGCCCAGCCAAGCGGCCTGGCCCCCCTGGGGGGGGGCGGCCCCCCGCGCCCCTCC